TAGACTTTTATCACCCACGTTTGAGGTCCACAGATACCCACCAACGTACCCAAGCAGTCGAGTGACATTGGGGGGGCAACAAGCGCAGGTGAACCACTCAGCTCGCTGCGACAAGTCAGTATCAGTCGATGCAAGCTGATTGACATATGTGAATCGCTTCCCGTCAGCAGACATCCCTGTCATAACGGCGTTGTAGAAGCACAGCTCCATGATATCCGCGACTTTCCCATCTAAATCGAGCTTCGCAAAAGTCAGTAATCGATGATAATTGTCAATAATATGAAACCCACTTGAAGTAATCTCTCCGCAAGCATCATGACTCCAATTCCTGCACAGGTTTCGGCATAGCATCCGCCCTCATCAGTTCCCGATGGGAGGAAGTAATCAATGCCAAAACCCTCCCACTGTTTGTGTGCTCCGATCCCCCCCGTCAAATACATTTTCTTGTCTACCATATTCGACCACAGTCGCTCCAGAGCGTCCCGCTTAGGCTTATTGTCTTTTGGGCCCTCAAGCCGGACGAGATCGGCGACAGCTGTGAGTAGATACATTGCCCGCACGCTATGTCCTTCAATGGTAGACTGATCAACGATGGGGACATGTGCTTGGTAGTACTGGTAGGGCGTCTCGGCAGACCAATACGATAACCTGTCATGCGGGCTCTCTCCTCTCTCCTCTGCTTCGACATCAAAATAATGCCGCCCGCCCTGTCCAGTTGGATTCCCACGCTCTTCGATGAAATAACGAGCGAGATCGAGATGTCTAGAATCCCGTGTTCGTTCGAATAAGCGTAGGAGTGCCAGTTCGATTTCTGGGTGTCCGGGGTATCCATGCCTCTGTTCCGGGCCTGGACCGAAGGTTTTGTGTAGCAAATCTACATACTTGAGGATCGGCTCCATGAGATCATTCGTACCATAGTGTTTGTTATGTGCAAGCGCAGCTTCGATGAGATGGCCAGCGTTGTACCTACCCACAACCATGTCAGCAACCGTACTTACTAATGTCTCAATAACTTCAAGAAAGAGGACAAGACATCTTACAATTCATGAAAATCCCGCAAGCACGTAAGGCGCTTCTCGGGAGCCACGACAGTAAAGTGGATATTTAGATACCCATCCGGTTGCTGTGCTACGCGGATCATGTCCACCAGCTCCCTCACGGCGCCGTCGATAGTCTCGTTGTGTTTCCAGAGCAAGAAGTAGCAGGCGCCCTCAATCCACTTCGCAACATCGGAGTCCCAAAACAGATGGTTGGGGACTGGCCACACGTTTGGCTCATCATTGTAGGAAGGGTGCCATTGTAACTTGAAGGCATCGTAGCGGCCTGTCGACTTGAGGACGTCAAGTTGGTAGAGTAGGGTGTTTTGGTAAACTATTTCACGGCGGCGGCTGATGAAGGATGGCTTAGAAAAGGTAGTATTTGAAAAGGCCGTCTGTGGATGCGCCTGTGTCATGGTTGCGATGGGGGAGGGGAGGCCTGTCTATTCGGATATAAGATTATGTACAAGATAAGAATATATAGACTTGGGTGAATATTGTAGCTTCTCTATAGTAGATTATGCTGGTTACTCATGAGCCAATGACAGATGACCGACTAAAAAAAGTGCCAGTCTTGATGTTTTATACTTGCTACACTGTTCGGTGGATGGTGGGTGATTGATGGAGCTATCTCCGTACCCGACACCGACCCCACTATACACCCCACCGGAGCACTGACCAAGGGGAACCCCACACCCCACGCGCCATGTTCCACGCCAGGTTACGGTGTAGCTTCCCCCACAAAATCTCTACCCCACGAAATTCCGCTGTACCCCACAAACTCTGAACAGTCTAGGCTCTAATCATGGCTCTCACAGCAAAACTTCATAACAATAGCTAGCTGTATTGCTGATCTAATAGCTGTTAATAACTTACCCTCCACGAGGTCTATGCGGGGTACGAAGGAGTATATGATCATCTTGATGGAACCAAATAAATGGTATTCTACACCTCATTCCCTGATACCCCATATCAAATTTCTCCTCACGTTCCTCATATCACCTCAACATTGATAACCGACTTATGCAAAACAAGGCGCCATGGCGATAGACAAGGTCGTTCCGACTGAGCATGAGCTTCAAGGACTTGACCTAAGCAACCCTGAGATTATCGAACTCATTCACCATGCGCAAGAAAGCGATGCAGCCGACCGGCTGTTGACGGTCCGCCAGGCTCTAAAGAAATACAAATCCGCCGTCTTTTGGGCTATGTTCTTGTCTACTAGTCTCATTATGGAGGGGTATGATCTCGTCATTGTTAGTAGCGCTTCCTGTGTCATTGATTGACTCCTCCATTGATCTAGAATGGACGCCCTAATGTCTCCTACAGATTACTTCGTTTTACGGCCAGTCACAGTTTCAGAACCGATTTGGCTTATTCGACGAAGCATCTGGAATAAACCTTATTACTCCCGCCTGGCAATCGGGACTGTCTAACTCATCTGTTGTTGGCCAACTTGCTGGGCTGTTGGTGAACGCATACTGCCAAGACCGATTTGGTTGTCGAATAACCATGATGATTTTCATGGCGTGGATGACTGTGATGATATTTATTCCTGTTTTTGCTCCGTCACTGCCCGTCTTAGCCTTTGGAGAGGCGATGTGTGGTGTTTCGTGGGGTGTCTTCCAGGTACGTCTCGAGTCGACTTGGGGGAGCGCAGTAACCCAGCTAATAATCTAGACCCTCTCTACAGCATACGCTTCCGAGGTAGTCCCAACTGTCCTCCGGCCGTACGTCACCGCCTATGTCTGCATGTGCTGGGGTGCCGGTATCCTCCTCTCCTCTGGTGTCGTCCGAGCTGTAGCAGGAGTCCAGGGCGATCTCGCTTGGCGTCTCCCGTTCGCTCTCCAATGGGTATGGCCCGTCCCTCTAATGATTGGCGCATACCTCGCCCCTGAATCTCCCTGGAATTCAGTTCGACGGGGCAATGTTGATGAAGCGAGAAAGAGCCTAATGCGTCTCCGAGAAGATTCGCCAGATAGGGAGCGGGAAGTGACCGCAGCCCTGGCATATATTAGGCATACGACGGCGCTTGAGAAAGCCGAAACGGGAGATGCAAGCTTTTGGGAGTGCTTTCAGGGAACCAATCTTCGACGAACTGAAATAGTAAGCACGCCCTCTTTCCATAGTGCCGCGTCGGAAATGTCCAACTGACTACTTCTCTTTACTTTTAGAACTGCGTAGTCTGGGCCGCCCAGATCCTGTGCGGCAATGCCATCCTTGGCTACTCTGTCGTCTTTCTCCGATCTGCAGGGTTTTCTGAAATACAGGCGTTCGACATCAACATCTCCCTTTCCGCATGCTATATTATTGGCGGCATAATTTGCTGGTTTCTGTTCCCCCATTTTGGCCGAGCAACCATCTACATGAGTGGACTAACATTTATGTTCTTCTGTCTCGTCACCATAGGTGGTCTTGGTTTCGCCAGTGGAAAGAACGTTGAGATGGCAATTGGTATTCTATTGGTCATCTCCACACTGTGCAATATGATTACGGTCGGACCTGTCTGTTATCCCATCGTGGCTGAGACACCGTCAGGGAGATTGAGGTACAAGACGATTGTCATTGGGAGATTTGTATACAACCTCACGGGAATTTTCAGCAATTCCGTTACACCGCTGATGCTTTCTCCTATCGGTAAGGATCCTTGATCTGGCTACTATAACCTCTTGATAATTAGGACCTATTCTGACGTTTAATCCATAGCCTGGAACTGGGGCGCCAAATCGGGTCTCTTTTATGCCGGAACCAATCTCCTCTGCAATATCTGGTGTTGGTTCCGCCTTCCCGAGACCAAGGGTCGCTCCTTTGGCGAGATTGACTTGCTCTTTGATAATAAAGTTCCAGCAAGAAAGTTCAAGTATACTAAAGTAGACCGTAAGTTACTTGATCTCTGTACTTACAAAAGCGAGGACGGTTCAATGGCTAACACACAAATCATAGAATTTGCCCGGCCGAACGATTATGAAACGAAGGAAGCGGCTGTTGAACACTTAGAGAAACAACCTTAGTAATTGACTATGGTCAGAGGTAGTGGTCCAACTTGGATATATCTTATATTCAGCCTTGAAACTGGCGAACTATTTTGAGTTCATATTAGCTAAGTTGATAATATAAACACGTATACTGTAAGTCTTCGCATATCTTGTGCGATCTGCGTGCACACATAAGCAGGGATGCATCAGTGCCATCTACGCGTATATGTTTGAAAAAGTAGGCTATGGGTTTTTAGGGCGTGTGAGATGACTGTGTGATCAGAACCGAGTCTGATCACAGAGGCACCCTGAGGCAGGGGCCAAAACCTAAAGAGTAGCAGATTGTGGGCTCTGTCGTGGGGCATCGGGCAGTCACACTGGAAACAGAAAATGTAGTAATATTAGTGGCACTGGGAAGAGACAAAAGCATAATTCCTGAGCTGTTACAGTAATAAAGCACGAGGATTTCACTAGGAAGAATAAAATAAAAAGATGAGTAGAAACGATGAGGAAGATAGAAGAGAAAGACAGAAAGAAGAAAAAGATACACGAGAAAGACAAGTAAGAAGACGTATAAGTATATAAGTGAAAATAGGAAGAATGTAAGACGATGATGGAAAAAAAGAGGTGAAATCAGAACGGAGGCTGCTATATAATATTAGCGTATGTCACAAGGGACCAACCCCAAACCAGACCATAGTCCAGTCTAGTCTATAGACTACAAAGCCTCAAAATGCCAAAACTATCATGTAAATATCTATTCGTTTCCTTTCTGACGAAGCGTGTTGCAATGATCAACATAAGAGATTCCTCTAACATGTCCCTAGTTCGCTCTACGAACTCACCCTAAATATTCGGCGAGGAGAGAAGAGGGGACGGAGTCGAAGGGTGGGGATATATAGGGGTCCCCACTATGCCCTGCCAAGCCCTGGACCGCACAGTGCGGCACTCACAATCTGCAATTGCCCCTCCTCTCGCCATCAATTCAGCTCTCATAGCTCAGTTGGTAGAGCGCGGCACTAGTATCTAATAGCAATATCTTGATATGCCGAGGTCTGCAGTTCAAATCTGTATGAGAGCATATTTTTATCTTTTTAAGACCTTATTATATGTTTTTTTGATGCGAACTTCATTCGCGACGTTCTTGTACTAAGTGTAATTGGTTTTTCGGGCTTTTTTAGGCGTTGCTCTAGTGTGGGTTATCTGAGCTAACGCAAAACCTCCTAAAAGATCAACGGTTGAAAAGCTGATCGCGATCTATGGAGTTGCGAATTAGTGCTTCATATGTACCTATTTTAGAAATAAAAAATGAGCTCACTGCTGTTACACTTCTAGCCACACTAAAGGCTGTTTCTACGGACGGCACGACTATCCATATAGTCCGAAGGACTATAGAAGCCAAGGCGGCCTGGTCTATACTAATAACCCTAGTTGGCAAGCTGCCGAGGAAAATACCCCACCATGGACTGGCATAATTGGGTCCGCTTCGTATGCCCCGCAATTTTAAGTTTACTAAAAACACGCTAACATTCACCAACCCCTCTTTCTTCCGTTTCTCCTCTCTTCTCTTCATATAACTCATAGCAAGAAGCTGATAGTCTATCATCGATCCTTGCCCCACCGACCCGCGATCGGGACGTGCGCTTTCATAGCAAACGAACTCGCCTACAATGAGCCTCCTCAGCCTGCCCCGCGAAATTCGCGATGATATTCTCAGAAGAGTGCTCGTTATAGCGCATCCACTCTATCTTTTCCAAGACACGCATTCTACCGTAGTCGAGACATTCGGACCAGAGATCTGAGCTCGATGGCGTGCGTTGCTGTATACCAATCGGCAGTTGCACGATGAGGCTAGCGCCGTGGTCTATGGTATGAATCGTTTTACCCTGGTGGACACCACGCCGCGACAGGTTGTCCTCCTAGAATCCTTTCTAAATTGCATTGGGTCTACAAACGCTGGGCTGCTGTCTCACTTATGCATCAACTTCCCGGTCGCGGAGAGCGTAGATGGGCAACCAGGGGAATTTAGGCTCAGGGAAGACGGCCTGCGTAGTTTGAAGCTTCTCCAAGACAAGTGCACCAGTCTAAAGACGCTGGAAGCTTTCGTCCAACCTGAAAATTCTAAAGGTCTGACCCAAAAAAGTTATGGTAACGCGGAGTTCATCCGGGAAGCATTATCGCAGATTGATGCGCAATTTAAGCTCATCCCTTCGTTAAGCAGGGTCGTTGTCAGATTCTACGATGACCCTCCAGCTCCTCTAGTGAAGGAGTTGATCCAAGGCCTTGAATGGGTAATCTTAGAAGGTGACAGAGGGCAATGATAGTAATTGGTAATAGGGGAGGGGAGGCAGCACAATTTGCTCTTTTGCTCGCTGGTTGAGTAATGAGCGATAACCTCCGCGGCCCTTGATTTGATGACCACTTGGAATGGGTGTGAGAGTGTTGGTAGATATAAAGCTTGTAAGCGCGGGGCGCACAGGCAATCTTTGAATCGAGCATGATGAGGGATAGGTTCGTAGTTCAATGGGGAATGCAAATGGTAAGTAATAAAAAGTAGTCATATAGATGCCTCTACTCCTATATGTAAGAAACCACTTATGACCCTAAACATAGAATTAGAAAGTAATGGAATAGTGGTTTGACTACTTACGACCCTAAACATAGAATTAGAAAGAAATGGGATCGTGGTTTGACTCTATAATAAAGCCCCTAGTGCAATATATCTCTCTTGGCTTATAAAGGAAAAACAAAAACAAACTAATACTTATCTAAGTAGGTAACCACTTTATTTAAAGTATAACGTATTTCACAAGCGAGTGGCCTACATAAGTAAGTGGCCCACGAAAACATCAAAACGTGTTAACTTAACAGAAGTCAATATACTACAACTAACACTATAAGGATGCCTCCTTAGTCGGGGTTGATACGGAGGGGTTGCGGGTTAGGTGATGGGCGATAAGGCAGGATAGCTGAGACGGACCTGATTCTGGTATTAAAGGGGCAGGACGAGCGTAGTTCCCCCTTTATCTTTTTTGTATCCTTCGTAGTAGACCTATAGGATTGCACCAACTCCTATCTAACTTATACTCTTATATGTAACTTCTCGTGATATAGTGCCCTATGTCCTTACATTATACAAAAAAGATCACGCCTACTAGGGACGGCCGTTTGTAAATAATATCCTATACCTAAACGACTTAGGAGAACTGCCGACACACCACTAACTACGACTCGGTGCCATTTTAGAGTAGAGACCTAACGACTTTAAATAGCCGTGATTCCTAAGATCTCACAGACAGCTAGTGGATTAGGGTTTGATCCTATAGGAGTAGCTGGTATAGTCATTAACGCGTTAGTGCTAATTTGGATTTAAGATCCATAACAACCCCCTTAAGCGTAGAGGTAATTGTGAACAAGAGTGCTAATAGCTTAAGCTACTAGAAGTTAAACTCTTTAGTATCAACTACGACTCGATACACCCCTGACCTAGATGTCGAAGAACTTAACACCTAACCAACCTAACAATGATGGCCAACTGCCTAGAGTTACTAGACGGATAGCAGCTACCACCTAAACCGCTCTACTACCTAAGAGCCCCCTAGATCGCATAGCGAACCTCAAGCGGGAGGTGTAAGAGCTTAAAGCAATGATAGCCACCCTAGTAGTAGGTTAAACAAGAATCCTACCTACACTAGAGGACACCCTAGTACCTATGGTTAAAGCCGTAGAGCGACGTGCACGCCTTATGCAAAACACGCCTAGGACTATACGCTTGCCACCTCTCTAGAGCACTCGCTCCCCTTCGACCTAATTAACATTATAAATACCCTCTAAAGACCCTTTGCATTATTATAAGAAATCTATGATCTTTAAGAGGATTACACCTTTAAGCGATAGGGTGGATCACACCTTCTTATAATAGAGCGCATTAATTTATAACTAACTTATGGTTAATAAGGACTACTACCCTACTAACGTCTCTAGGAGAGCATTAATATAAGGAACTACAACTAGCTTAGTAAAGTTATACTTAGAACCCTAATACCTATCTACTACGTATAGGTTTTAGAGCATAGACAAAATGATAGGTCTACTAGGGTCCTACTTCCTTATAGGTAACGAGATAGAGTAGGCCTAGAACCTCTTCTACGACCTACACATAGGAGAGGAAGGACATGTAACAGAAACCTTCTTAGAGTTTAAGGCGCGTTTTTAGAGCGCTATGATTACAGGACACGTCACTAAGTTAGAATGGTTTTACTACATGTAGAATAAGTTAACCCCTTAATTCTATAGCTACGTTATGGTTCTTAAAAGTTAATAGCATAGTAATTATTAGAACATAGTCTAAGAACTATCTACCTACGATCTAGAGTAGCGCTAGAGTAATGAACTAGATCCTCTCGTCCTTATAGAATAGACAACATAGCCTTAGGATTCTATTAAGGTAGCGACCCTACATCCCCTCTAAGGGGTATCTGCTATAACTACTTTATAGAGAGCATAACTACGCGACCATAGCGACCTAAACCTAGACTAGACAATAACGTGCATTACGGACAAAGCACTCTCTTAGGAGGAGGGTAGTGTAAGGATGCCTCCTTAGTTAGGGTTAATATAAAGGGGTTATAGGTTAGGTAATAAGCGATAAAGCAAGATAGCTAAGACAGACCTGATTCTAGTATTAAAGGGGTAGGACGAGCGTAGTTCCCCCTTTATCTTTTTTGTATCCTTTGTAGTAGACTTATAGGATTATACTAACTCTTATCTAACTTATACTCTTATATGTAACTTCTTATAATATAGTGCCCTATGTCCTTATAAACATAAGCCTAATCCTCTAATTAGGAGGGTAGAATACTATTAGCTATTAGTGTAATTAAACAAGGCTAGTTTTATAGTGTTTAAGTAGCTATAACATTATATAATATTATAAGGACATAGGGCACTATATTATAAGAAGTAGTATATAAGAGTACGAGTTAGATAGGAGTTAGTGTAATCCTATAGGTTTACTATAAAGGATATAAAAAAGATAAAGGGGGAGCTTAAGGCTTCCTACCCCTTTAATGTCTATAATAGGTCTAGCTTAGCTAGTCCTTAGCATTTCCTTAGAGCTACTCTTGTTTAGGCTTTAAATTAATTCTAATACTAGAATTCCTATGCTACTATATTATAGTGTTACCTATTACTCATTACCTTAGGTCTAAATATGCCTTATATAAGGAGGCATCCTTATAGATATACCTTAAATGACACTACGTTAATAGATTAAAGGAATGACTTCTTAACGTAACTCTACCCTTAGTTTATAGAATTTAACTCTATATGAAGAGTTAGCTCTTATTTAATATATCCTTAACCTAGATTTACATGGATTTCCACCCTAGCTATAAGCTATATAAGAAATAGCTAACCTTTTACTCTCTAAATGAGGTAAGAGCCTTGTTAAGAAGAACTAGACTACTAACTTCATTAAGCATTATATAGAAATTAAAGTAAAGTTTAGTTAGAAGTATGATTACAAACGAGCTAAATGTAAAGATCTAAAGATAATTAAAGGGTAGTTCTCCCTTATATAAAACATAGTTATAAAATATAGAATCTTAGAGTAAGACATCTATAACTTTAATAAAGTAGGTTTTATAATAGGAGTTATTACTACTATAAAGGTAGTTATAAGCTTAAAAGTAAAGAGTTATCTAAAGACTATATAGCCTAGAAATAAAGAGTAAGTGTTAATTATCTAAGGTGTTAATTTATATAGATAAGCACTCTTACTATTTATCATTTTTAAGGCATAGAATCACCTCTTTACTTAGTATAAGGACTTAAGATTACTATATAATTAGGTAATTATACTAAGTAAGAATAGGTAGACTTTAAATTTAATTAAGTATAAGTAGATTTAACACTTTAATTAACATATAAGCACTTATATGATTAGAACCTATTACCTTCTTATTCTTAACAAACATAAGAGTTACATCTTTACTTAATTTTAATACTACTATATAAAGTAGAAGATAATTACCCTTTATATGCTATTACACTTATTATACATTCTTTAGCTACTTAATA